TTTTGTAATAACTCGGGAATGCCTCGTACAATTAGGCTCGACTTCGATCCCTTTGATAATTGATCCTTAACTGATATTCATCATCTGTTTCATTTCGTCGTCTGGATCGAGTTCGTTCTTTCTTTTGCTCGAGTCGACTTTGTCGTTGCTCTTCAGCTTGACTTTCTCGTCTAGATCGAGCTCGTTCTCTGTCTTTCGCAAGTCGATTTTGACGTTGTTCCTCCGTCTGATTAACTCGTCTTAGACGTGCACGTTCTCTCAGAAGAGAAAGTCGGTTTTCATGTTCTTCTTCTGTGTCCGCCTGAGCCTGCTCGATTGCATTTGGGCTGGTTGGTTTAGTGTGTTCACTTTCAATACTGGTATCACTACGTACACGTCTGTTGAAAGAAGACTCAAATTCAGGCATGCGTATTTGAGCGACTGTATTGTTCTTAAATGTTTTCTTTTCAGGAGTCTTAAGGAAAATAGTTTCGAAAATGAAAATTATTAGAACATTCATTTAAGGTGTAATCGCTTACTTTGACATTTGATAATAATAATTGATTCCTATGATCAAAATCATATTGCTGATTTGGTGCTAAGAGAGGCACAAAATGAGTCGGACTCCATACATTATTATTCACCCCTCGCACATGCATTTCCTTCCGCATATTCGACCACAAAGTTGCAACTTCATAATTAGCAACGATCGGTGAAATAGGTGTATACATACTATTCATCAGAACCATGCCAGCTCTAAAGTCAATCTCTGGATAGACACTTCGTATATTGCATTTGAGTAGATTACATAAAGCACAAATTTCGTACAATCTCGAATATGTTCGATTTTTGCATATAGCTTTAACAGCTATATCAATAAGCCCGGCTCGATGTGTATACATATTGGAATAAAACGCTTCATTTATTACAAGTTCAGTAATCGTGCGAACTAAGAAGTTGTCAAACTTCTTCTACTATCAAAACATACATGTCAAAAACCTCTACGAACCTCGTAATTCACTTGCTGTAAGTGTTGAGTCATTCATCAAAAGAATCAAAGAATGATATAAACAGTTTCCATCAGCATCAACATCGACTGGAATAAGATGCTGTACGTCCGCCGATGCTTTTCAAGATATTCCTTTGGAATCAAATCCACCACATGGATTCTATTATCGAACACCCCATAAGGACGAAACTCCAATGGTGTCCGAATCGATTCCATCTAAACAGTACAAAATACATTTGATACCATACGAATATGTACTTACTCGTCGAATTCGTTGTACAGCATTAATAATCTCATCGTGATAAACGGTACTTTCAGAACACCGTTCCAGAACTTGAAGTAAACGTCCGAACTTCTGCGAACGAGTCATTCGATTACAATTAGGACAACAATCATTCACACACTGTGTGGAACAAAAAATACATTCGACAGTCATAATTGATAATACGACTAAATTCCAATTATATGAATAAATCTGAAATGAGACATAAACAAAAAATCTTTTATAAAATGTACGAAAAGTCTTATTCGTTTCTCTTTTGAACGTTTCTATCGATAATATCCTTTACTTTTCACTTTAAGTCCACGCAACAAATTCGATTGTCAAGCCAAATCCATAGTTTTCACCGCGGTGGAAGATCTCTCAAATAGGGAAATAGTCTCGTCTCTAAATATTATCTCACATATATGTATACATACGCACAATTTGTAATCAGGGAGATATTTATTTTTCCCTTAAATTTTTTTATCTTCTATAATATCTTGGCGATTCGAATTAAAGTTCTGATAGAAGAATCTTTTTCAAATTCGAATATCTCAGTTAGATCGCGATTCACCATTTACAATAGAGAGAAACTTTGTCTTCCTCAATTTACCGTCATATACATGTATACACATATGCAACGCATAATGGCTGAATTATTCTTTTTTAGATTAGATTTTTTATTTTCTATAATATCTTGCTGAATCAATTTGAAACTTCATAAAAGATACAAATCTGAATTTAAATATCTAAGTTTAATGATGATTAAGCATTTGTAATAAACAGAAATGTTCTCATCTATTTATATGATATCATATACATGTACACATATATACAATGCGCAATGAGCAACATATTTTTTTGTTTCTTAAATTTCTCAGTTATTGTCATTGCATTCCTCATCGTTATCTTCGTCTTACTTTATTTCTTCTATACTATAATATTATTTTATTTTCCTAGATCATCATATATGTTGCATCTATATATATAGATATACTATTTGATAAATCATATATCTAGACGTGTTTTTTTTTCTTTATAAACGCCCTTTTCTCTATTATTTATCATCATCAACAAACGACAATAATAAAACACATGCTGATTCGATAGACTTCAGTTCTATAAACGATATTTGCAGTTTACATAAGATTTCATTTTATTTATATTCGAAAGTAAAGATAAAGGCAAAACGAATTTTTAAATGATAATATATCTTATTATAAATACCAATATACATATACACTCTAAATAAAATAGGT